AACAAAAATCTATGTTGGAAAAAGTACAGTTAGAAGGCTCATTAGAAATCAGGATGGCAAGACTTCATCTCTCATACTACAGACATGTTATCAGGAGGGACAGTCCCAGAAGAAGGATATCATGATTGGTAAAGAGGGTGGTCAGTGAAAAAGAGGAAGATCCCCAACAAGATGGACTGGCAAAGAGGCAGCAGCAACGGGCTCAAGCGTAACAACAATTGTGAGGACGGTGCCCAACTGGACAGTGTTTTGTTCTGTTGCGTATAGGGCTGCTATGAGTCGGAACCACCTCAACTGCACCTAACAATAACAACTTCCTCGGGAACATTTCTAAGACCTTCTGATCAAAATGCTCTGAGATCTGGAATAGGCAGATATGTACCATTCAGAAATTACGAAGGTAAAACATTTCATCTGGAAATTGTTCAGCTAGCTACTGAACATTGGGTAAGCTTTTGAAATTTAACAATACCTATTTTATTTCTCAGTTGTGAAAATTAAAAATCTATGCTTATAACTTGTTTACCTATTATTCTCCCAAGTAAAGGAACAAATGTCTATTTAAAATACCTGGAACACTTACTTGTGCTCATGCAGAACCTGCACATAGAACAAGACGCAGTCATTCCAACAGAACAAGGGGCTACTGCATGGTTTAAAATCAGGAAATGTGTGCATCAGGGTTGTATCCTTTAACCATACTTATTCAATCTGTGTGCTGAACAAATAATCTAAGAAGTCGGACTATATGAAGAACACTGCAGCAGGACTGAAGAAAGACTCATTAACAACCTGTGATATGCAGATGATACAACCTTGCTTGCTGAAAACAAAGAGAACTTGAGGCACTTGCTGATAAAGATCAAAGAATACAGTTATCAGCATGGATTACAACTCACTGTAAAGAAAACAAAAATCCTCACAAGTGGACCAGTAAACATCATGAAAAACATAAAAGATTGAATCTGTCAAGGATTTCATTTTATTTGGATCCATAATCAGTACTATGGTAGTTGTTGTTGTTGTTGTTGTTAAATGCCGTCGAGTTGGTTCTGACCCATAGCGACCCTGTACAGGGTTTCCGAGGCTGTAAATCTTTACGGGAGCAGAAAGCCTCATCTTTCTCCCGCAGAGCAGCTGGTAGTATCAAACTGTTGACCTTAAGGTTCGCAGCCCGATTTGTAACCACTATGAGAAATTAAGCCATTGCAATGGGCAAATCTGCTGTAAAAACCTCTTTAAAGAGCTCAAGAGTAAAGACGTCACTTTGAAAACCAAGGTGAACACAAGCCATATTTTCAATGGTCTCACATGCATGTGAAAATTGGATAATGACTATGGAAGACCTAGAAAAGAACTAATGCATTTGAATATGGTGTTGATAAAGAAAGTACCAGACTACCAGAATAACTAACACATCTGTTTTGAAAGAAATACAGTCATAGCACAGTCAGGGACCTATTACCTTTCAGGAGGGAACAGTCCCTGGAAAAGGACATCATGCTTGGTAGAGGGTCTGTAAAAAGAGGAAGGCCCCCAATGACACCAACACAGAGGCTGCAGCAATGGTTTCTGACAATAACTGTGAGGATGGGGCAGAACAAAAGCAGGCTTTCACAGTATTATGCATAGGGTCACTATGAGTCAGAGCCACCTTGACAGCATTTAACAACAATGATTTTTCCTACTGCCACTTTATTTCTCCTGATACTCGATAACCATATGTAACTGTGATTTCCTTACGAGTCAAAGGACATCAAGTGATTGTCTTAGTTATCTACTGCTGCTATCACAGAAATTCCACACATGGATGGCTTTAACAAATAGAAATTTTCTCATAGTTTAGGAGGTTAGAAATCCACATTCAGAGTGCCGACTCTAGGGAAGGCTTTCTTTCTTTGTCGGCACTGGTGGAAGGTCTTCTGCTCTTGGGCAACCTTCAGATTTCTTGGCATCTCTTTTGCTCCATCTCTGCTTACTCACTTGCTAGCTTAATCTCTTTTCTATCTCAAAGAGATTGACTCAAAATACACCTTATATTAATCCTGCTTCATTAATATAACAAAGACAACCCATTCCCAAATGGAATTATAACATAGACCTTTGTTATTATTGTTGTTAAGTGACTTCCAGTTGGTTCCAGCACATAGAGACTCTGTATAGGGCTTCCGGGGAATGGCTGATGGGTTTGAGCTGCTGATCTTGCAGTCAGCAGTCCTGTGCTTATCCTACAGTGGCACACCAGGGCTCCGGCCACAGGCATAGAGGTTAGGATTTACAACATATTTTGAAGAGACATAATTCAATCCATACAATGATCTTTATTTTCTTTTTTATTGTTTCTACATATTTTTACAGTCAACATGTATTAATCTATAATAAAGTTGTTTAAAATAAATACATAATATAAATCTTGAGAGTAGAAATAGGGTGATATTTTTACAATACAGTTCACTTATTCCACTTTTAATGACAGAATAAGGAATGCTTAGCAGAGAAAGAGATTGTTAGGTAAGAAGATACCATGCCCTTTGAGTTTTGTATCTTTTAAACCTATAAAAAAGAGCCCTTGTGGAACAGTGGTTAAGTGCTTGTGTGCTAACTGAAAGGTTAACAGTTCGATCCCACCAGCCAGCCATTCCTTGAGAGAAAGATGTGGCCGTATGCTTCAGTAAAGATTATAGCCTTAGAAACCATATAGGAAAGTTCTATTCCATCCTATAGAGTTGCTAATAGTTGAATCAACTTGACAGCAACAGATTTCTTTGGGTTAATTTCATAAAAATTTGAGTTAAAAAAAAAAAGATTCCTAAAAGGAATGTTTATCATTTATTGTATGTTCTTGTTGTTGTTAAGTGCCATTAAGTCAGTTTCAACTCACAGAGACCCTGTATAGGGTTTTCGAGATGTGTCTGGTGGGTTTGAACTACAGACTTTGTGGTTAGCAGTCCAGTGCTTATCCTACAGCGCTATACCAAGATTCCTTTGTTGTATGTAATGTATGTTATGCAATTTATGTAAATCCAAATTCTAGTAGTCAGTCCATGACCCTTCTTGCTTCCACTCCTTGCCCTTCAACCCATAGTTTACCTCAAGTCTCACACCTAAAGTACTGGCTAGTGGTGCCTATGAAAACTGTAGCCTCAGTTCCTCCTCACTACTCTCAGCCACCTTCTCTCAAATACTCAGTAACTATAACAATACTAGGATCATGAGCAACACTAATTAAATACCTTTGCTATTAAATATCTTCTCCTTCAGCTCAGTTCACCCCTGCTAGGTCTCATCAGCCTGTGTTCTGCAGCTACTAAATCTGCAGAAGGAAGGGTAGAGCCAAGGTCAGAATGACCATAGTGATGAATGAGCCCAACCCTCTCCAAGGCTTCAGGAGTATCCCTCATATAGCACAAAGAATTTTCTCTGCCAAGTCAGTGAACAAATGCACAAAAGGTCTGTTCTGAGTACAGCAAACTAAGGCAGTAATACAGTAGCAAAGGCACAGGAGTTCGAGAGAAAATTACTCAGGCAAGAAGAAATTTGTCATTATTTTGTAGTACCTCTAAAATATGAGGAAGGATTCACTTGTCAATTCCCTGGGTTGGCTTCTCTGTGAAAACAGTATCAAATAAGGTCACATACAATAGGGTCAAAAGACATCCTCGTATGTGACTCATTCCTCTTACCTTGAAGGAAACATGCAGTCATTTTCCCGGTATAATCTGTTCTTAATGATCTGATAGTGTGTCCCTAGCTTCCGTCTGACCACTTCTGCCATCATCTTCTTGGAGATGCCTCCTCGGAAAGGAGTCAGATCCTGTTCTATGACACTGGCAAAGAATGAAACTTGTCAAGGAAAGAAGACCAAGAGAATGATACTGTTTCACTTACTTTCTATCTGTGCATTTCAGTTTAGTATTAAATAACAGAGTAAGTAGAATGAAAGATAGAGGATAGGAGTGAGCAACTTTTGCCCAGAAGCCCCATTGTTATTGTTAAGTGCCATCGAGTCAGTTCCGACTCAGAGTGGCCCTGTATAGGGTTTCTGGGAAGTGGCTGGTGAGTTTGAACCATCAACCTTGCATTCAAATTGACCTTTCAGTCCAGTGCATTGTCCTGCAGCGCCACATGGACAGCAATGAAACCACAAAGGGTGAAAAGCAAGTCAATTTCTCTTCTTCCTCCCACCAGCTGGATCACCCTTCATTACCTAATCCACAGTCCTTCATGACACTCATGCCACAACCATGTTCACCAAGTCACTGGAGTCCCCAGTGACCTCTTTTCTGTATCTCACAGAATGCCACAAACAGTCTAATACTGTGTAGCTCCCTTATTCGAGTCTGTGTGGCTCACAGTCACCCCCTGTACTCTATCACCATGAAGCAATAACCAGAACTTAACTCTCTTGTATTCCTTTTAAAGTATAACAAATAATAAGCTATGGGGCTTGCCAGAGGGTTAATTAGTAGGTGACATAGGACTAGAACCTAAGTCTGATGACAGCTTGGACAGATATCTTTTAACCATATCATGCTTCCTATCTAATTTGCACACTTAAAAAAAATCAACAGGAAACTTATGATTATATTCATTGATTAATATGTTCATTCATTCAGAAATATTTATTGAGTACTTAATAAGGGCTAACACTAAAGAAGACACAATAATGAATAAGACCTAGACCTTGACCTTATGATGTCCAGAAAGTAGGAAAAACAGACGAGTAGGTAACTCAAATCCATAGGAAATTAGCAGCAATGCTGAAACCACCCAAGTCTTCCCTCTCTCCTGGCATTTTTATTCCCTAGAAATAGGGAAACCACCACAGGCATTGTTTTCTGCTCTCAAAATATGCTCAACTCTCTCACTGTTGTAATCAAGGTATCTTCCAGATCTTTGAATACTTCCTCCTGAAAAGAACTAAATTCTCAAAGATGAATCAAAGGATCTCTGGTAGTGTAGCAGGTTATGCACTGAGCTGCTAACCACAAGGTCACCAGTTTGAATCTACCAGCCAGCCGCTCCCTGGGCACATAACCATCACCAACAACGGAAAAACTCACCCATGGTAGCAGCTGCAGTTTTGACTTGAACATGTTTCATAATTCTCCAAAGACCTGTTAATCTGGTCAATAAATACTTTCCATTTTGAACCTTCAAAAAGTGAGGTGAATCAGAGTTAACAAAATACCCATGAACATTCCTATTTGAAAGCAGCAGGCAGACGGATATAAAAGGTAAAATTTTAGACACTTCATTTCCTAATTCAATGATAGCAATGAAACACCACGAAGGATTCCTTCCTTAACTTTTGTCAAATAGGCTCTTCAGCAGGGGTCATCAGGTGTCCAAGAAAATGGAAAACTCAAGGTTGAATGCCTGCCACTTAGAAGGCTTTGGATAAACTAGACAGTGACACCGATTCTCACCTTTTATTAATCAAACTGAGGCCCATAAAGAGGATCAATTAACAGTACAGACATTAACTCTCCTTTCATCTCTTCTGGAGATAGCCTAAAACTATACACACACGAAATAAATCCCCAGTGTGTATTAGGAGATACAGAATAAGTCGAGCAGAGAATTCCCCCATAGGCTCGTGAACTAGGGAATTCTTTCTCCTCCTTAACTAATACATCAAAACTGGAAACGGGTTACTCTCCAGGGTCCTGGGCAGAAAAAAGGGCGTGAGACACTCAGATGCCCTCACTCTCGGTTCCAAGACGTCAGATGCCCCCGCCCAGCTCTGCGCTATCGCGGCCACAGCATCCAGTAGGACGCCGCTGCACCGGGGAGCGAGCGTGCCTCCAGACCCCAATGAGACATACAGCCCGGGCGGCTGATTCGGCTGTGCTCTAGCCCACCTGACTCCTTCTGGCGGCCCAGCGCTGGAGACAAAAGTACCAACAGCAGCCACAGACACAGCGATGAGCGAGTCCACTGCTCCATGGCCAGTGGACCCATTGCAGAGTCCCCACAGCGGCGCCGGCGGAAGCACGGCCCCGCACAAAGATGGCCGCAGGAGCAACACAAATGGGTTTCCGGCCGCCCCGCACAAAAATGGCGCGCTGTGCGCATCGTCCTCTACCCGGTATTCCGGCTTCCGCCTTCCATCGGAGTTCCCCGCTCCCCTCACCCTCCATCCCCCCCACCCCGCCCCCGGGAATGCGTGCTGAGAAACTGGGACTTCACACTAAGTGCAGGCTGTTTAGATCAGCCAAGCTTTATGCAGGCAGGGCAGCATGTAGTTGTGCTTGTGATGTTTAAAAACAAGCTGTATTGTAGTTGTTTCATGTTTCAAATTCTTCTTTCACACACACACACACACACACACACACACACAAGGGTTGTTGTTATTAAGTGCCACTGAGTTCATTCAGACCAATAGCGACCCTGTAAAGGCTTTCCTTTACAACAACTTAGTCTCATCTTTCTTCCTCAGAACGGCTGGTGGACTTGAACCATAGACCTTGTGGAGTCCAGTGCTTATCATACAGAGCCACCATGCCTGCCAACCCTAATAATGGTACTTGCTATTTTAAACAAACTATCTTGGTTTCTAGATGGAGCTCTGGTAGCGTAGTGGTTACGAATCGGGCTGCGAACCTTAAGGCCAGCAGTTTGAAACTACCAGCCACTCCGCGGGAGAAAGATGAGGCTTACTACTCCCGTAAAGATTTACACCTCGGAAACCCTGTACAGGGTCGCTATGGGTCGGAACCGACTCGACGGCACTTAACAACAACATTCATCATGATAGACATAGCAACCCTAGCTGTGCATAGGGTCGCCGAGTCAGTTCCAACTCGATGGCACTTAACAACAACAACAACAAATTTTGTTTTCTACAGCCAGAAATTTAAGCAGTCTTTTCATTTCACAGTTAGTGGCCAAATCAAGTAGAGCTAGAGATCCTAGGCTAGATCTTTACTTCCAGGACATCAAGCAGTTTACTAAATATTAAACCATTCAGTGTTCCCATGTTCTGTTTGAACAACTGCCTCTTGGTTCAGGTGCAGATTCTTCATGAGCACAATTAAGTGCTCTGGAATACTCATACTTCTCAATGTCGTCCATAGCTTGTCATGATCCACTGAATCGAAATCCTTTGTGTAGTCAATAAAGCACCGGTAAACATCTTTCTGATATTCTCTGCTTTCAGCCAAGATCCATTGCACATCAGCAGTGATACCCCTCATTCCACAGCCTCTTTTGAATCCAGCTTGAACCACTGGAAGTTTTCTGTCAATATATGCTTGCAGCTGTTTATTACCTTTAGTAACACTTTACTCACATGGGATATCGAAGATATTGTCCGATGATTTCCTCATTCTGTTGGGTCACCTCTCTTTGGAATGGGCACAAATATGGATCTCTTCCAATCAGTTGCCAGATAGTTGTCTTCAAAATTTTTTGGCATAGATGAGTGAGTGCCTCCTGTGCTGCCTCACTTTCTTGAAAGATTTCAATTTTTATTCCATCAATTTCTGGTGCCTTGTTCTTTGCCAATTCCCTCAATGTACCTTGTACTCCTTCCTTGAGTATCATTGGCTCTTGATCATATGCTACCTCTTAAAATAGTTGAACATCAACCATTTCCTTTTGATACAGTGACTCTGTGTATTCCTTCCATTTTCTTTTGATGCTTTCTGCATCATTCAATAATTTGCCCAGAGAATCCTTCAATAACAAAAGTCAAGGCTTTCTTTTTTCTTCAGTTCCCCCATCTTGAGAAATGCTGAGCATGTTCTTCCTTTTTGGTTTTCTGACTCCAGATCTTTGCACATTTTGTTGTAATATTTGGCTTTATCTTCTCGAGCTGACCTGTGAAATTTTCTGTTCAGCTCTTGGACCTCCTCATTTCTTCCATTTGCTTTAACATCTCTACACTGGAGAGCAAGTTTCAGTGTCTCTTCTGACATCCATCTTGATCTTTTCCTTCTTTCTTGTCTTCTTAATGACTTTTTGCTTTCTTCCTGTATGATGTTCTTGATGTCATCCCACAACTCTTCTGGTCTTCGGTCTTTAGTCTCTAATTCATCAAATCTGTTCTCCAGGTGATCTCTAAATTCAGGTGGGATATATTCACAAGGTCATATTTTGGCTTGCGTGGTCTTGCTTTCATTTTCTTCAGCTTCAGTTTGAATTTGCATATGAGCAATTGATGGTCTCCTCCACCATCTGCCCCTGGCCTTGTTTTGACTGATGATATGGAGCTTTTCCATCTTCTCTTTCTGCAGATGTAGTCAATTTGATTTCTATGTATTCCGTCTGGTGAGTTCGATGTATATAATCATCTCTGATGCTGTCTAAAGAAGGTATTTGAAATAAACAAGTCATTGATTTTGCAGAATTCTATCACATGATCTCCAGTATCATTTTTATCACTAAGGTCATAGTTTCCAACTACTGATCTTTCCTCTTTGCTCCCAACCTTTGCATTTCAATCACCACTAATGAGCAATACATCTTGATTGCATGTTTGACCAATTTCAGATTGAAGAAGTTGGTAGAATTCTTCTATTTCATCCTTACTGGCTTTAGTGGTTGGTACATAAATTTGAATAATATTGTTGTTAACTGGGCTTCCCTGTAGACGCATGGATATTATCCTATCACAGACAGCATTGTACCTCATGACTGATCTGGATATGTTCCTTAATGCAACACCATTCCTCTTCTATTTGTCATTCCCAGCATAGTAAACCATGTGGTTGTCAGATTCAAAATAGCCAATACCAGTCCATTTCAGCTCATTAATGCCTAAGATATCGATATTTATGTGTTCCATTTCATTTTTTATAATTTTCCATTTTCCTAGATTCATATGTCATACATTCAATGTTCTAATTATTAATGGATGTTTACAGATGTTTCTCTTCATTTTCACTTGTGCCCCTTCATCAGCAAATGAAGGTCCCACAGGCTTTACTCCATTCACATCATCATGATCAACTACTTTGAGGAGGCAGCTCTTACCCAGTTGCATTTTGAGTGCCTTCCAACCTGAGGGGCTCATTTTCTGACACTATATCTGACAGTGTTTCTCTACTATTCATAAGGTTTTCAGTGACTAAATATTCAGAAGTAGTTAGTCACTCCTTCTTCCTAGTCTGTCTTTGTCTGGAAGCTCACCTGAAACCTGTCCAAAATGGTTGGCTGGCCCAGGATCTGGCAGTGTTTCATTCTGTTGTGTACAGGGTCGCTATGAGTCGGTACCAACTCAATGTCAGCTAACAACAGCAACAACAACTACTTTACAAAGCATAATGTCCTTCTCCAGGTTCTGATCCCTCTTGGTAACATGCTCAAAGTACATGAGACAAGTCTCACCATTCTTGCTTCTAAGAAGTGTCTGGCTGTAATTCTTCCAAGTCAGATTTGTTCATTCTTCTGGCAGCCATGGTTTATATTGCGCCTGACCGCAAACTCAGTATAAACTGCAAGGTAGGCTGTTCAAACCAACCAGACACTCTTCAGAAACACTATACAGGGTCACTATGGGTCAGAGGGTCTGAACCAGCTAGAAAGTACTTAACAACAACACCAAATTTAAAGGAATCAATTCTTTGTCAGTCTTATTCATTGTCCAGCTTTCACATGCATATGAGGCAATTGAAAATACTATAACTTGGTTCCGGTGCACATCTTAGGCCTCAAAGTGACTTCTTTGCTTCTTAACACTTTAAAGAGGTCTTTTTGCAATCGAGTGAGAGAAAAACGTGAAACAAAACTCAAAATCTTAAAAAAAAAAAAAAGTAAATAAAAGGATCAGACTTCCTGGTCTGAGATAGGTGAAACCTCTAAGACTATAGCCTTTGGACACCCTTCAAGCCTGGAACTGAATTCACCCCATGGCTCAAGTTTCAGCCAAACAATTGACAAGCCTATAAAGTAAACAACACCGTCTGGGTGGTATCACCCCTTAGAACAATCAACTTTATAAGATCAAAAGAGCGGGATTTACTCGGGTAATTCTCAGAAGGTCATATGAAACTGTAAATTAGGCAAGATGTGGGAAGAGTACAGTTACATTGTGGAGAATGCAATCAGTGTCACAAAACAGTGCGCATGAATTGTTGAATGGGGACTCTACTTGCTGTTTAAACTTTCAACTAAATCATAATACAAAATTAAACATTTTTTTTTTTAAAGTGATCTTTTGCTGCAGATTTGATCAATGTAACATGCCATTTGACTTCTTGATTGCTGCTTCCATGGGCTTGGTGGATCCAAGTAAAATGAAATCCTGGAAAACTTCACTCTTTTCTTTATTCATCATGATGTTGCCTATAGGTCCAGTTGTGAGGGATTTTTTTCTTTTTTCTTTCTGATGTTGAGATGTCATCTATTCTGAAGGCTTTATTCTTGGTTCTTCATCAGCAAGTGCCTCAAATCCTCCTCAATTTCAACAAGGAAGTTTGTGGCATTTGCATATTGTAGGTTGTTAATAAGCCCACGTCCAATCATGATGCCATGTTTTTCTTCATAGAGTTCAACTTCTCATATTTATTTGCTCAGCATACAGAATGAATAGGTATGGTGAAAGGATACAACCCCGGCACATATCTTTACTGATTTCAAACCATCCAGTATCTCCTTGTTCTGTTAGAATGACTACCTGTTAGTCGATGTACAAATCTGAATGAGTACAATTATGTGTTGTGGAATTCCCATTCTTTATAATGTTATCCATAGTCTGCTATGATCCACACAGTCGAGTGCCTTTACTTACTCAATTAAACACAAGTAAACACCTTTCTGGTATTCTCTGCTATCAGCCAAGGCCCATTTAAGATCATCAATAGCTCTCATTCCACATCATCTTCTGAATCTGGCTTGAATATCTGACAATTCCCTGCCAATGCACTGTTACAACCATTTTGAAATTTTCTTCAGCAAAATTTCACTAGCATGTGATATTAAGGATACTGTTAGATATTTTCTGCATTCTGTTGGACACCTTTCTTTGGAATGGCAAAATATGGATCTGTTCCAATCAGTTGGCCAGG